TTATTCTGGAGGCCAATGTGGATAGTTTATTCTGGAGGCCAATGTGGTGGACCGTGGCCCTGGCGCCCAGATTCAGAGTGGCCCAAATTTCATGTTCCAACATCGTAATTATGAAATTTTATCATAACAGAATGAAGAAAACCATAACCAAAACACCTTCCTTCCTTCCTTCCTTCCTTCATTTATTCCTTTTTTTCTTTGATTGAAAATAGATTTTTCCCATATAATAGATCCTGATTTTGATTTCTTCTTCTTCTACTCTTTCCAGTCCCTCCCCCACCTCCCCTTCTATCCAGATCCACCCCCTTTCTGTCTCTCGTTAGAAAACCAACAAGCTTCCATGAAATAATAATAAAATATACAATTTATATAGTATTATAGGATAAAGCAAAAACTAACACATCAGAATTGGACAGAACAAAAAAAAAAAGAAGAAGAAGAAGGAAAAGGGCCCAGGAAAATGCATAAGAAACAGACATAGAACTGGGCGGTGGTGGTGCATTCCCTTAATCCCAGCACTTGGGAGACAGAGGCAGGCAGATCTCTGTGAGTTTGAGACCAGTCAGGTCTACAAGAGCTAGTTCCAGGACAGCTAGGGCTGTTACACAGAGAAACCCTGTCTCAGGAGAAAAAAAAAAGGAAACAGACATAGACTCATTTTCACATTCAGGCATCCCATAAAAACACTAACTGGAAGCCATAATGTATATGCTAGGAAAGAAAAAAAATAAGTGAATGAAATTAAAATAAAATGTATGGTAAAATTAAAATCAAACAAACCAAATGTCATAAAGCCCAGGCATGACGTAGTGAGACAAGGAACCTCCAAAGACACTGTCCATCCCATTTCTGCCGGCTGTCCTCTGCGGGGCATGCAGCCTGCTCTTAAGGGAAGTTTGTTTCCTCCGTTTTTGGGTAAAGTGCTGAACTCATCACATGACAGGAACATGGAGCACTCTCTGGGCCTGGGGTACTGGGCTTTCTATGGAAAGTGGAGAATATGAGAACATAGGGGAAAACCCAACCAAAGCCGGTTTTGCTTCTAGCACGGTTCTTTCCTTAAAAGGATCCCACGGTTTAAGAAATTGATTAGGTGAACAGTATTGCCAACTAAATGCCAGGGAAGAGGTAAAATCGCTTTCCTGTTGGCGCCTGAATGCTGGAGACCATGCTTGGTGCTTACCTGGAGCCTGGGGGCAGGATCTCTATCACAAGGCAATCTGGTCTGAGGAAAATTGAAAGCCCGTTTTTAGCATCTTTTCTCTTAGAGATCCATAATGCCCTGAGTGTTGAGGCTGTCTCAGATAGTAAATATAGCAATTATAATATACCACATATTATATTAATATAATTAATATTATTATATTATAGTATATATTATATAATTATAACATACTTATCTGCAGACCTTATCCCGCTGTTTAATAGAAACGGGCTTGGATCTTGACGCCGGGCTAGAGAAGGCAGAATAGGTTTCCACCTGTTCATCATTCCTTTTCTCTTGTATAAACCCAGGACGGTGGAACTGAAACTCTCCTGTGTGCTTAAGAGCTGGGATATTAGTCCACGTTACGTCTAGACAGAGCATCATGACTTCAGAAAAGTCAGAAAGATGCAACTCCCAAGATGCTCCGGTCCACGGAGGTTAAGACAAGGCATCAAACAAATGGAGTGTTTATCTCTGAGCGTAGAAGTCAAGGGTGTCCTTTTAATGTCTTCTTGAGCCGGTGTCTGACTTGGACCATCTTAAGAGAGCTTCTCATCATTAATGTGATCTTGCTTGGCTCCTTAGAGCTAATGGCACGGAGTCTTGGGGGAAAAGTGATTAAGCCATTTAGATAGCTTCTAAAACTTCTGGATATTGTCAGCCTCTGGCCTAGAAAATATAATATTCAAGGTTTCTCTTTCATCTTAAGAAATAAATTAGTTTTCGCCTTTAGCTTATTGGAAATCCAAACAAGGTAAGATTCTTTGAAAACTGATCTGTTAAGTCGGTCCGGGTTGTCTGGTAAACTCCGGAAGATGCAGATATCCCAGGCTTATACTATTACAGCCTACTTGAAATGGCTCTAAAGGAAAAACAAAATGGATTTAATTCTTGATAGATGACCTTGGGCATCAGCACCATGGATATTTACTTGTTTTTAGGATGGTAAGCAGAGGCTGGGGACCCAGTTCAGTATTAACTGCTGGCAGGGTAAGCAAGAGTAGTCTAGCTTGAATCCCTGTTACCTACACAAAATACCAGGCTCCGCAGTGCTTGTCTGTAACCCAGCACTGGGTACCCGGAGGGATGGCAGGCACATTGGGCGTCTCTAGAGTTCACTGCCTCACAGGGAAGCCCAGTCAGTGAGCACCAGGTTCAGTAAGAGACCCTATCTCTAAAGATAAGGTGGGTATTGGACCTCTAACTTTGCCACTCGTATGCAAACCCATAAGTATATACAGGTGTATGCCACACACACACACACACACAAAAACGAAAGCCAGAAAGGGGGTTGCTATACAGGTCGTCAGCTACCTTTCAAGTGAGCTCCTTGCCTCCGGGGAGTGGCTTGCAGCAACACAGTGGCCTGCCTTTGCAGGCTGTATTCTTCAGTTTCAAGTTTACAGGGTTTCAACAGCTGTCCTGGCATGCCAAGGTGTTTATTTGATTCAATGTAGCCTTTCATAAGTGTGGTTCTTCTTTTAGTCATTCATACTTAGGTGGGGTTTCTCTGCCTTTTTTTTTTCCTTCCTTCTATGCATCTGTTCATCTCCCCCATCATTGTGAAATAGCTATCGATCGCCAACTTGGAGACACTATTTTAGCTCTGCCCACTAATCTGGGACCAACGAGTGAACCTGGAAATGCTGTACATTGAATTGCTTTGTGGTTGTTAAGGCAAAAAAAAAAACAAAAAACAAAAAACCCAAAGCAGCCTCAACATGTAGATGGTATGTAGGTAGGTAGTATGCATGACAGTCATACCCATGAGTCCTGGGGCTTAAGTACCTTTGATAAATACGTGTTGTTTTCAGCCCCTTCTCACTGACCCGTAAACATGATCTTGCTGCTTGGAGACTAGGAACTTTCTACTGTCATTCCTCTCCCACTGTGTGTTGGCTTCAGCGCTCATCCCGTAAGATTTCTGCCATATCTACGGCGATACCGTCCGCCAAGGAAGTTTTTCCCACTGCACAGCCCCTTATTAAATATAAGATAAATATAAATGCTTTGCAGCAACGTGGAAATGGCAAGTGATCATGCTACTGGGGGTTGTGGGTAAATCGCTTCAGAAGTGTGAAGCTGAAAGTGAGCTCTTCCTCCACTTGGATCCTCTGAATGTAAAGGCAATGCATGGGATCGTTTCATGACCGCTTACAGGGCAATGGTGAGAATTATGTAGTAGGGTAGATGAAATGATACGACATTTCCTCTTACCATTAGAGAGGACGTGTTGCGTACCAGATTTCCGTGATATTTCACTTCATTTTAGTGACACGGAAATGACGGGAGAAAGAAGGACGTTCACATTTCACCAGTCCTTGTGGTTAAGTTTTACATCCAACTTCCAGAACCAAAATTCCGACTTCCTAAATGACAACAACCTGTGAGGGGTTCCCTAAGCTAGCAGTGTCGCTGGGGAAGGTGAGGGACGAGATCAAAGTCTCTGAGGTAAACCCCTCGCTTGTGGGGCGGACTGTGGAATACTTTCTCAGAGAAAGCACCCAGCGTCATCGTATATACCTAGGGTTGACATGGCCTGGTTGATTGCTTTTAATAGATAATTTATGAAAAGCCTGTGATTGTTAAACTATGTAAAAATCAGAAATAACTCTCCGACATCATATCAATAACCCATCTCCTTGCTCTGGCAGCAACTCGTGGCTAATTGCACATCATTTATCTAGAAGTATGTTATTCCCATATCAACCAGACATGCGCTTCTGCAAACCCTGATCTCACTCTGCCTGCTGGCTACTCTTGAGTCCCGACTCTCCTCCTTAGACCTGCTTGTCCTGAGACTCCACTGTGTCCTTACTAATCTCCTCCTGGTCGCCATGCCCTTCCTTGTGATGCCTTTCCTCCTCCGTGTTTTCCTTTAGCGGTTTGCCAGGCCTGGAATTGTCATCTTAGCAATAAAACTGTAAAATGCCTGCTCGGCCAGGAGACAGTCCGGGAGTCCCTTGCACTCTCTGGCGCAGTGGTGGGCAGGTGTATTGCTAGATGCATAGTGAAGCCTTTTGATTGGTGGTGCTAAATTGTTGGGTTTTAGCTCATTCAGGAACTTTTCTAGGGTTTAACATTGTTCAGTGACAAGAAGAGTGTGGCAATATAAATACTCAAAGGATAATTGTATCGTTCTCTTAAAGTAAGCAAGCCAAATACTTCCCAGGATGCCCTTTGGCATGGTCAGGCAAGGTCATGATAAGTTAAAAGTTAATATACTTGGGAAAATATGTTGGTTGAACAGCCCCATTTTTACAATCTGCTGACCCAGTTGAGAAGAGCTCCCTCTGTAGACCAGAACTGCCCCCTCTGTGGCCTGTCTGGCCTGTCTAGAGCCCCATTGCCTCTATAGAAGGATCCCTGAGGAAAAATAACTCTCATGGTCATTCAGGCCTCAGGAAACGGAGGAATTCCCATGACTCTCGGTTCTATTGAAACCCTTTCCACTTCATGCTTTTGGAAACTGGTTGCTTTCTGCAAACTCTAATAGGTATATGCATTGCTTTTTCTCAAGGTCATCTGTTTGAATCCATTCATAAGACATGTGAGTTTCTATATGCTCATCTCTGTGGGGCTGGTTCCCAAATTGGAACCCCATGTAGAAGTCCGCTTAAGTTACTTGGAAAGTTAAAGTCATGTGGGTTCCTAGAGAATCCACCCAGCCTATTCTTTGTCAGACTGAGTTGCTTTTTGCATTTCTAGTAGTAGCTATGCTCTGTTCGTACTGAAGAGGTTGAAAGTAAAATCCGTGGACTGCGTGGATGGCTTCCAGGAAATCTCAACAGGTCACCCGTCACCCAGAGCAGGCTGGAGTCGGGGTGGGATGGCAACAGTGAGCCATGTCACTGCCTGGCACATGGCGAGAGTCGCTGGGCATGTTCTTCTCTTTCCGCTCTACAGAGTGTATGCAGTATGTTGTTTGCCCAATACATTAGCGATGATCTTAGGAAGTTTCCACAAAGTAGACAAACCCGGGCTTGGTGGCACAGGTCTGTAACCCTCGCTCTTGAGAGGCTGAGGTAAGAAGACTCAGGGCCATCTTGCACTACTGAGTGAGCTTCAGACTAGCTTAGGTGGCGTATTAAGACCCTGTGAGCCGGGCTGTGGTGGCTCACGCCTTTAATCCCAGCACTCAGGAGGCAGAGGCAGGCGGATCTCTGTGAGTTCGAGGCCAGCCTGGTCTACAAGAGTTAGTTCCAGGACAGGCTCCAAAGCCACAGAGAAACCCTGTCTCAAAATAACCAAAAGAAAAAAAAAAGACCCTGTGAAACGTAAGGCAATAGAAAAAAGTCAATAAGCAAAACTCACCAGGAACTGGTCAAAATCAGTTATTGCTGGTCTACAAAGAAGGAATTGCATTCAGAAAGGATTGCCTGAGAGGGATGCGGCATTTTCTCAGTAGATTCAGCTGTCTCTCTCCCATTGCTTTGCAGCGGAGATCAAAATCTGTTTCAAGTACTACCATGGCATTAGCGGAGCCCTGCGAGCCACAACCCCCTGTATTACTGTGAAGAACCCGGCTGTGATGGTGAGTCCCCTCATGGCTGGCTTCCTTCTGGAGCCCATTAAGAGTTCTATTTTTGCCTGGGCAGCCCCCTCAGGGTCACAGGGAACAATGAAAAGGAAACACACGACAGTGTGTTTCAGGAAAGGGAACGCGGTAAAGGCCGCCACCACGGCCGTATCTGCGATACCAATCAGTGGAAAAACACTTGCGACGTAGCTGTCCCATGTATCAATAGCTCTTCGAGGGAACACGGTGACCCACGGTGTTCTATCGTGAAGGCTTTTACACGTGGACAGTAGGAAATGGCGGTACTGTATCTCGGGTGGGTTTCCATGCATTCAGTGTGTAAAGGGGGAAGGAGCCCAGCGTGATCATAGGCATTCTACTTGCCTGTCCCCTGAAGAGTGTGTGTGATGTGGTCATATATGGGTGCTTTCCTCAGAGGTCACAGTGTGTGATGTGGTCATATATGTATGGGTGCTTTCCTCGGAGGTCACGGTGTGTGATGGAGTCATATATGGGCGCTTTCGTCAAAGGTCTGAGTTTAAATTTCTCAACGAGTGCTGAGTGGGAATTCTACTGTTTGGTAAAATATGGCCGCTCTGGGAGCCAACTTCTTCATCGAGCCCTCAGGTGAAGGGTAGTCATTGCTTCTGCAATTTTCTGACTTTTTTCTCTTGGCAGGTCAGCTTAAAAAAATCTAGAGTTCTCAAAATTGGGTTGATGATTTAGGAAGAGTCACAGGCTCTGCCATATGGGAATCCTTGCAGTTTTTGTCATTAGTAAAACTAAGATTATAGCCAGGTTGTCCTGACGCATACCTTTAATCCCAGCACTTGGAAGGCAGAGGCAGGCAGATCTCTGTGAGTTCGAGGCCAGCCTGGTCTACAGAGTAAATTCCAGGATAGCTTTTATACAGAGAAACTCTATCTCAAAGAACAACAACAAAATATATTATAAAGGTCTAGGGGAAAAAATTTAACTCCTATGACGTGTGTGTGTGTGTGTGTGTGTGTGTGTGTGTGTGTGTATGTGCGCGCGCGCGTGCTTTTATATATGGTTGCTATTTTGGAAATAGACAGGGGCCAGGTTCAACCCCCTAATCCAGGAGGAAGTCCCTATAGATGACATTTTGGAGTTGTCCAGCCTCGCTTTGTGCTGTCTTTGATGGTACCCGTGCCTCTGATTCAGCCGGTCCTTTCCTTTTGCTCAATAGTCAGACATTCCCAGTGGGCGTGTCTGCGTGCCCAGCCTCCTGCTCTGAATCAGATGGCAAGGAGAATGAGATTGTTGCTCTCGCTGCTGTCACGAGGGAGAGCGACATCGATCAGACCCCTGTCGTGACCATTGTGTGAGTTGAGAGAAGTGGACCTGTGACAGTGTGCAGCAGCAGGGTCTGTCAGGACCAGGAACGCTCTGAATAAGGGTGACCTGAATGATGGTACTTGGGTGAAGAGGGAAAGAAAAAGAAACAGATCAGACAAATGTGTAAAAAGTGGAAAAATGGTCAGGATCTCTGGTTAGAATTAGACTTGAATCTCTATGATAGTAAGCCTAGCGTAGAATATAGGAAGTGTGCATTACTGCCTAAGGCTTTGTGGATGACAAAGAGGTTGATAGCTCTTGACTACACAATCTCCTAGGTCAGTGTAACACTGGCCTATAGTCTTCCTTGTCTTTAATATGGTAAAATAAAAAGCTACAGACCGACAAGAGTAAAGCTGTGTCTACTCAAACCTCTGGGTGAAACGAGAAAACAAAACGAAAGCCAGCTCTTCCTGAGTTCAGAGTCATTTAGACCAGCAATGGCGCAGTCTAACTACCGCTAAAGGCGGCGGGAATGTCTAGCGCACTGCCCGTTTAATGCACTGCCGTGACTCTCCAGTGAGGTGACCCTGCCCCAGCCTGCAGTTCGGTATGATTTCAGAGTTCTTGTGCAGACAACAGCACCACAATCAAGAGACAGCGTTTGGATTGAAAACCTCATTAATGGAAATGGTGGTCAGTAGATTTCTGAATTATCTACAAGTACTTGGATCTGTATTCTTGGGTCTGACCTGTTGCAAGGAGGAGGCTGCTTGTTCGTCCTGGCTGCCCAGAACCAAAATAATCACACAGAAACTGTATTAATTTGATCACTGCTTGGCCCATTAGCTCTAGCTTCTTATTGGCTAACTCTTACATCTTAATTTAACCCATCTCCATTCATCTGTGTATTGCCACGTGGCAGTGGCTTACCCACAAAGTTTTGGCATATCTGACTCTGGCAGCGGCTCCATGCTGTCTCTCCCGCCTTCCTTCTCCCAGCATTCAGTCTAGTTTTCCCCACTGTCAGGGTCCGTATGCCCCAACATAGAAACTATTTTTCCTAACTGTACCTGTCCTGAGGTGTGTGAAATAATGAGACGCAGTTCACACAGCAATATGGGAAGGGCATCTCAGGCTTCATCCATTCCTGAAGATCTACCTTTTATCCCCAGGTAAACCAAGGTGGAAACTCATTAATATTCTCTTTGGGGGGATGCGGGACTACCGAAACACCTGCAACTTAATTCACCAGCTTGGGATCAACACCTCTCCCAGGGCGATCTACATATTAACAAAAGAGAAGGAGCGATACATCCTGGCCTTTGTCAGGTGGCTAGCTTGTTTGGCAGAATTGCAGCTGCCTTGGAAATTAAGTATGGTCAGAGAGCCTGGCTGCAAATATCTTGTATGAAATATGGGCCTACATCCCACCTACCTAAGTTCTGCCCTATCAACAGGCCAAGGCAGTTTCTTTATTCATTAACCAATAAAAGCAACACACAGACAGAAGGACCTCCCACATCACTGACCTCCTCTGGGAAGGTCAGCACTTCGCTGCTGTAGCAGTATGGTGGTCCCACACCATGTATACATGGAGTCCACACCATGTATTTAACTATTGTAAGCAGCAACACTGATGCCCGCAGTGCTTGCTTAGTGTGACTATTCCATGCCTGATGCAAAGAATAGAGCCAAGGAAGACAGCCGAGACTCTTCGTAGGTCAGGAAATGAGCCACTGTCCAAATCCTCATAATCTCCTCGCTCACATAATCCTCTGGCCATGAATCAAGGATGAAAACCCCCGCCTCCTCTGTCATTTGTGTGTTGACGTTGCCATCATCGCCATCATCAGAACGTACAGTGAGATGTGTGTGGGACAGAGCCTTGCTTCAGGAAACCCTTCAGCTGCTGGGCGGGCTCTGGTTGAGAGTGTCGCCTCCACCTCCGGGCTTCCTGGAATGGATCTACAGAGAGCATCTATTTAAAAACCTCCCTCTGGTTGCTGATGCAGACGTGTTTATTACAATGAATGGCCCTGTGTTCCAGGACAATGCTTGGCCTTCCTGGTGTGATAAAGCTGTATTCTCTTGAGTCTTAATTCAGAGGAGCATTTTGCTGGAGAGATGGCGCAGGCTCTCTATGAATTCTTTGGTAATTGTTTTTAGATTAGTCTTTTATCACATGATGAATTAAGTTTTTAGAATGAAGATTGCAGGGGTCTTCTCTTGTTCCTTGTTTAATTTGTTCATAAGCCTGGTGTTGTGGCGGTAAATGCCTCTATTCCTAGCACTTGACAGGGCGGCTGAGGCAGTGAATTGTAACCTGGCTACATAGGAAGACAGTGTCGGGTGGGGGGGATGGGGAGGGCAGAAGAAGGGAAGGGAAGAGGTAATTTTAAGGCAATCCATTCATCTTTTTGGCCGCAAATAACTGAGCACAAGCAAGTGCCTGGTTAGACACACATGTTCTATTTCTGGAGGGACGTGTCTTACCGAGTAGTCAGTGTGTTCTGCTCAAGGCAAGGCCCTGTTTTGTGGACAGAGGCAGCTGGCCTCAACTTTGTGATTCTCCTGCCTCATCCTCCTGAGTGCTGGGCGTATAAGAATGTATACCATAAACAACTATATTCGTATTAATTCGTAAACAGAACTTACAGTAGATAGAGTAGGCTGTTATATTAAGAAAGATTTCGCCAGGTGATGGTGGTGCACGCCTTTAATCCCAGCACTTCGGAGACAAAGGCAGGTGGATGTTTGTGAGTTCGAGGCCAGCTGTCTCTGGGCTACAAGAGCTAGTTTCAGGACAGGCCCAAAGCTACAGGGAAAACCTGTCTCGAAAAACCGAAAGAAAAAGAGAGAGAGACAGAGAGAGAGAGAGAGAGAGAGAGAGAGAGAGAGAGAGAGAAAGGAAAGAATTCAAAGTTTGTATTTTTTTAAATGGGGTAAAGATCAACTTTAAATATAAAGCTTTGATCCCGTATTTTGGAATCAATATTTGCCTATCTAAGATTTGAAATTTTGAAGACATGCACTATAATGCATTTTGATATTAAAAAATATCATTGTATATCCAAACACATAAAGTTTCACAAAGTTCCCTGGACCGTTCGATAGCGTGATCCCCGTATGAAATTACACACCCATTTTTCTCCTCAGATGGGGGCGGAAGGCATGGAAGGGGGTGCTTCCGGAAGTCTGCACTCTCGGAAGCTCGTCAGCTTCACCTTGTCAGGTAAGTGTCTGAGTGTGGCCTCCAGTCTGAGGACACACGGCATCAGTGGAAGGCATGGTCATTTCTTTGTACAACATCATAGATGACCTGTAAACCATGTTACTTTGAGTTGTTTTGCTCAGACTTCTGGAAAGTCACGTATGTATCTGACCATGATAAGATTAGGTGATGATTATGTTCAGAAAGTGCTCTTTTTAGCAAGTTTTCTCACAAAAGCAAGACTGTGTGAGTATGTGAGGTTGTTGACAGCGTGTGTGAATGGTTAAATAACTCTTTCAAGGAACTTTGGGGATTTGAAATCACAGGTGCTTACTTCATCTAGAGAAAGAAAAAGTTTGAAGCAAAAACATGAAAGACATGCCTTTTTCTGTGAGGCTTACACATAAAGCAGATGGCTGTTTTCATGAAATTAAAAAAATATTAACAAGTAAAAAGATAATGATTTCTTGTTTGGTAAAGCATCCCCCCCCCCCAACCTGACTGAGCTGAAACTAGCATTAAAATGAATGGGGCTCACTGCAAAGGGAAAGATGTTTTGATGAAACCTCAGTTTACACAAATTGACATTTTGGGGAAAAAAAGAAGTATACATATATGCAAGTATGTGTGCACTGGGCTGCGACATGAAAAGGTGAAGTGTATTTCACACAGGGCACTGTCAGAGAAAGGTTTGAAAGTCACTGACCTAGTGAGAGTGAATTAGAGAACCAAGAATGTGCTAAGAAGCCGGTGCTTAAATTGGAGTTTTCAAATAGCCAAGTGGATGACTGGATGGTCGTTTATACAGAGTCTAAAGGTCTAAAGTTTACCCGGGCTCTGTAAAAAAAAAAGAAAAGAAAAAGAAAAAAAGAAAGAAAGAAAGGGAAGAAAAAGAAAAAAGAAAAAAATCAGTCGGTCTGAGATTTAACTGAGATTCTGTTTTCTGTTTTCTCTGCTTAAAGAGTGTGAATGAGCAATATCATCTAAAGGATCCTTGGTGTCAGCCACCTCCACACACTGTGATGGTCCCATCAGGACCAGGCTGGCCATCATCTTCTTTTGTTTAGTTTTGTGTCGTCCTTTTTGCTTCCTGTGGGGTGGTTAATTTGAGGGTCTCCTTTCCTTCCTTCAGCTTCCTGACGAATCTCAGATGTTGTAATCTGGCAGCTTATGGTTTAGATTGGGCCAGTGTATCTATTTTTCTTGGGATCTTTGGGATTTTTAAAGGATCGATCTGGGTAATTAGAAGATAATTTAAAACCCCATCATCCAGCGCTTGCCCTCAAACCGATTCCTGCTGATGATGGACGGCCCCTGCTTTAGACCTGTGAAGTTATAGGAAGTTATAAACCCTGAAGCCCCTGGTGACAGTTGGCAACAATTAGCCACCCCCAGTGATGGTTCGCTATGCTCTGTTGACTTCCTGGTTTAGAGCTATTGAAGTACGTGTTTGGCTGATGTATATCACTTTAAAATGGCAGTCACATATTGATTTTGACTTCAGAGGGAGAACTCAGTATAGGAGAATTACTACCCGGAAAGTAAAATCATAGTACAGCTTCCTGACAATAAGAAACAAGTTCTAGGACATCGGTGACTCCGTCTTTAACTTCTTTGGTCACATCCCACCACTGTTCCCACGGAAGCTGGCTGCCTGCGATGTGTTTGTCTTCTTCTAGACAGACATTTGCCGAACATACCGAGACATGTAAAAATCACAGGAGAGGGAAAATAGATTCTATAATGTTGACTCCAAAAGCAATTGGCACGGCTGGAGACTGACAGTAGGTAACATATTTATCTGAAAGACTGACGGGCTGGTATGGCTGCCTGTAAATGTTCTATGCTTGATTATCGAAGGAGAAGCAAGGAAGAAGCCCAGAGACCTGAACTCGACAGCCTCGGCAAAAATTGTGTCTTGATTCGTGCTTCAAGTCTTACCCAAGTGAGGCTGAAGCTAGGGTATCTAGCCTGGGTGCCATTGTGGGTTTGAGTTCTTCTTTGGTCTGCTGTGTGATACGGAGTTTGTGAACAGAGAAACAAAGGAAAATAAGGGGAAGCAGGAGCAGAGAGGAGATGAGTGAAGGGGCTGGATCAGCAGATTGCAAGTAATTGGCCGTTCATCACTGTGTCGATGAAGATGTGTTCATCTGTGCAGTGTCTCGCTGCAGAAGAGTTGGTATCAAGGTTACCTAGCTTTGACATCTTTTATCAGGATGACTGTAATCTGCTGGCAGGCTGCGTCTGTGTTTGGAGGGATGTTTGTGAATGACTTGGCCCCGTCAGACTCTGTAGCTGCTGTTTCTGGCCATGTTGCTCTGCATTGACTTCAAGGAACTCCCCTGCTTGGGAGTGAACTCGATATCTTGAGGCTCTCAGTCTGTCTTGAGTCGGAGGCAAGGATACTCAAGAAGGGCAAGAAAATCAACGTGCGAGCTGTGTTTTCTTCTCGAGGCTGCTTTACGCAACATGAACAAAACATGCAGTTGGTCTAGTGAAAATCTGCACTTATTAAAGACCGGATAGTCTATGAAGTATCGAAAGTAGGATCCTGGGAATGATGACAGCAGCTTCACAGAGTACCTGACTCAACCCTCGCTTGTCCCTTCCCTCTCCTGCTGATTTCTAGGTCAGCCATCAACTTGCATCCCATGCAGCACTGTTAGCGTGGGGCCTTACCGTTGACTGTCTCCTGGTTGCTGAGGTAGTATCCATCCCTTCCACGGCCGGCTGTGTCATTAGACAGCCCTGGTCTGTTTTCATCCCATGTCTAGGCCACGCGTTCTTGTGTCCCAGCCCATCTCTTCAGAAGAGTGAGCACGGGGGGATACATAAAACCCAAGCCCAGGCAAGGGTGTCCCTGTGTGTCATCGCTGTCCAAGCCAGAGTGGTCCAGACCTCCAGGTTGATCTGAGCCACATACAAACGCAGGCTCGTTCATCGCTTTCAAGGTTTAGCTGCAGGGCTGCATGAATCACGCTGATAGCCTCAGGGAGGTGCTGTGGGCCCAGCTAAGCCAGCATTAGGTCTGGACATGCGTGTGCCTGCTCAGCTGACGATCTAAATGTCTCCTCGCCGAGACGGTGTCAGTGATGACTGTCAGCGGCTCATGTCACATAAAACATATTGTGAAAATAAGGTAAGTTGTAGGATAGTCATTGATCATTTAAATTACTTTGTAGGTTATGGGGAAAGTAAGTGAAGAACTGTTTAAAATAATTGCACTCGCGTGTTAGAGTTCTTATAGAATATGCATGACATTTAGGATGTAGTACAAATGAATGTGGGCTGTAAATTTTGATCTCAAGTTAGACTGGCTTCAGACTTACACATACAGACATACATATATAGTATAGTATAGGTATTTGTGACTTTAGATGCGTGGGTCTTTTTTATAAACTGATTACTGAGAGTCTCTGTACAGAGATTATCTTCCATTGTGGCTGACCAACCACACCCCACCACGAAGAAGATGGTGGGGACCCACAGGCATGAGGACTTAAGGGTTCCAGATGTAGGGGCATGAGGTCGCGAAAAGGGGCTGGCTTTATTTTTGCCACGTGGGAGATCCTTCTGCTGGCTCCCTGCCGTGAGCCACTCACTCTCTGTGTGACACAGAGTGACTGACTGTCGCCGTGTCACTAGCCCCTTTCTGGTTAGGGCTTTGGGTTCGTTAAGAAGGCCTGAGTCTCGTGCTAACTGGGATGTCTGGCTCCTTCCTCCTCTCTTCTGTGCTTTCCCCTTCCCTCCTGCCTGTCCCCTCTCCCCGCTTCTCCCCACCCCCTTTCTTTAAAGATCTCAGGGCAGTTGGGCTCAAGAAAGGGATGTTCTTCAATCCCGACCCTTACCTTAAGATGTCCATTCAGCCAGGGAAGAAGAGCAGCTTCCCTACGTGCGCCCACCACGGGCAGGAGAGACGGTCCACCATCATCAGCAACACCACCAATCCGATTTGGCACAGAGAGGTAAGATGGGGGAGGGGGGTGTCTTCTGCCTGATGGACTTGAGAGGCAGGTTCATCTTTTCTCTCTGCACTCTGTGCAGTGTTGAGTTGTTAACAGGCGTAGGCAAGAGGGCCGCAGATGTCCGGTTTTGTTGAAGAGGGCGCACTACCTATGAGCTATTTCCTTCCTGTTAGAGCCGCGTATGCACTAAGAGTGGCGAAGAGGTCACTCCTCGGTACAATTTTGTGGTATGCTGATATATTAGTAAAATAGATAATAATCAAAATAGATACCTTAATAGTTTACAAATTAATGCAAAAAAGTTCATGAGGAACAAAACATAATAAAAGTTTCCTCAAGAATAGGAGAATTACAGTATTATTCCCTTGCAGAGCCCAGCAGAGCCTGGGACAAAGCGGAAAAGACTGGCTTCTATTTAGGTTTTCTGTCTTTTGGACTAGCACATATTCCGTTCACATTGAAGTTCCTCTCTATGGGCTTTAGCAAGTGCTCTTTATGAGCTTTCAGATCTTTGCTAGATGAGCCACTCAGGAAGTTGGCACCCCTGTGAAGGCAGATGGTGTTCTGGATTCCCTCAGGGCTTCCCTGTGCTGCCCCTCCGACACAGGAAGCCCCGTCTCCGGAACCGTCTTGGGTTTGAGTGACAGGTCGCTGCTTATGCTTTTGTATTTGTTCTAAAACACCATGCTATCCTAGTGGCAAACGACGCTATGACTCAAGTCACAGCACCTCGCCTCCTGTCTTGAAGCCTAGAAAATATGAAGTATTTTTCAGGGTGAGCTCTGGAAGGCCCGTGGTAGCTACGGAAACAAAACCAGAGCGCTCTTCCTGTCACTCACTCGCCTGGCTTTTTACACCGCCCAACACAAAGCCAGGGCTACCACCAGGCTGGCCGAGTGTATCAAGGACGTCTGTTGTCATTCAGATTTTAATCTTGTGTTTTAAGAATCCTTGTGACACTTCCGGTGGTTCCTAAGCGAGGATAGGAGTTACAGAAGCCGGGAATGTGGCCTCTGAATGCCATTCGGGTTCAAAGGCCAGCGATGTCTGTCTATAAAACGAGAAAAGGTTCCATGTGTCTTCTCAGCCACAGTGTTGCCTGTTTCTGGTTTCAGAAATACTCCTTCTTTGCCCTTCTAACTGATGTCTTAGAAATTGAAATCAAAGACAAATTTGCCAAGAGCCGCCCCATCATCAAGCGTTTCCTGGGGAAGCTGACCATTCCGGTGCAGAGGCTGCTGGAGCGTCAAGCCATCGGGTAACGGGCTTTCACCTTGGGGGACCTGGAGATCAGTCTGTGCTGAGGCAGCCAGAGCAGCGCTTGACAGTCCTGGGGTGTGTCTCACTGAGAAGAAGTGGGACATATCTCTTTAAAAAAAAAAATCAAGTGCCTTTATGTTCAATAAAGTGTACGGGACCCAAAATACTCTGTTTTAATGGCACACTTTCTGGTGGTATCAATCCCCTCTCTGAGATTCACACAAATAGCCATCGGTGACAAGCCTCATAGTGTTCAGTCCATGTGGGGGCGTGTTGAAATCTCGCTATCACACCCTTTCACGGGCATCATATCACCGCCATATTATCCCGCTGAATTCCATCCATGGGGCCCACCTTTGCTCCTGAGGCACAAAAACAAACTGACCTGGGGCCTTCGTTTTAGTTCTTTGTTCCTGGGAGCTGTCCAAGTAAAGAAACACAACATGCCCTCGCCCACTGTACTGTGTGTATTTTTACATCACAGGTATTAGCAAACCCAACACCAGAAGCGCCCTAGGATGATAGCTCAGCAAGAGCACTGTGTGCGACTCTGCACCGCAGGAAAACCTTTGGAACACACAGTAGTGTTGGCCGCAGGAGCACCTAGAGCGAGCGCTGTCCTCGCAGTGGTAGTGAGGGTTTGTACCATCAGCCCTTGGAGTAGCACATGGATTTGCTCACCGAGCCTCGGTGGCTCCAAGAGGCACGTGATGCGATGCCAGCTGTCCCAGAGAGGAGGAATCTGAGGCTGGCAGGCCAGTGGTAGAGCTGAGATTTGGGGGCTCGAGGCCCTCTGTTCTCTGAAACACCTTGAGTACTGGTTGTAATTGTTGCTGTGGAAACCCAGCCCTGAACGTCCTCTACAGTTTGCCCGGGTTTCAGTTTCTTCTTCTGAAAGCAATTGTCCCTCTAGCCCTTCAAACGTGAGGCTCAGAGGTGCTCACGGATTCTGATCTGCTTGGCTTGAAGATGTGAACATTGTGTTTGGGCAGCCCACACAAAGTCGAGATAATATAAAAGCTGAGACACGGCAGTGATTTTTAAGGAAAATAATTATAGCTTCTAGAAGATACATTTTTGAGAGCTTTTGAAATTCATTTAACATATATCAACAGTGAAAGATGATGGCGAGGTTCAGCTACAATGAATCTAATGCCTTTTTCATTCATGTAATGATATATGTGTATCAATTTTGTGTACTGACAGCAAGAATGATCAAGGAAGAGCTAAATCTTGTCAGTACCCAAACTGCCATGAACTCTCTTGTGCCTGAGCGAGTCTTCTCAAAAGCTGAACACCCACCGGGTCAACAGACCCAGTTCTGTGTCTAGTGGGAAAAAAAGTCCAAACTGCATTCAGGAAGTATCAGGACTGAGGTGGTTCTCTGTTCACGGGTTAAAAGCATTGCCGTCACACTAGAGACGTCCGTATTTCTAACCTGATGGTTGTTTTCTATCTATTGAGTATCTGTTTGGTGAACTGCGACTATCGGAAATAGTCAAAAATGTCCAGGGTATGGCTATATGGGTTAAGCCACACTCCTGATCTGTTTTTAAGGCATCTGTTTCGATGTGGCATTTTTCATGGCATGGCTGACTTCTCCCTGAAACACTTGCCGTGGTCCCATGCTTAGCAGTCCCCCTGATCAGTGAGAAAATGCCTCGGGCACCTAGGGAAAGTCTTTAGTGTTTACTTTTATAATAATAGTGACGTATAGCATGTGCTTCATAGTGATATATCACAGCAGGAGGCAGGGTGAGTCAGAGGAGGACGGGACAAGCCCAGGAGGAGGACCGCGTCCCCAGACTGGCACTATGTACAATAGGGCACTCTCCCCGGAGAGTCTGCAGCCTCAGGGGCTTTGGTGCAGAACAGATGAGCTGAGGGGACCTGGCTCAGTTAAACTTCTTCCTAGTAAAGGTTCTCACTCGGCAGTTGGTAATGATGTATACATTAAGCGCTTAGTAAATGTCAAGAGCCTAGTTGGGTATTAGCGATGAGAGAGTCACCAAAACGGATGGGCACAGACCTTTATACTCAACTCTTACAAAGCACTCACTCTCCACCTTAACTGTCGCTTCTGCGAGTCTTCTGTCATCAGGGTCAGTACTTCTTAGCAGAAGAAAGGAGGAAGGAGTCATCAGTGTCTTTTAAGAAGGAAATGGTGGCCTTATTAGTGGACTGAGTGTCAGAAGAGATGGAGGAAAGACAGGGAAGTGGAGACAGGGCATAGCATCTGCTGCTGGGTGCACACACGAGCTTGCACACTCGTGTGTGTGTGTTCTCTAAATGCAGGAATACCGGACTTCAGTGGTAGGAGGAGCAGAAAGGTGTCCCTGCTGTTAGGCAGACTGTAGCGGTCCTGCGGTTCTGTCACACATTCTACTGCAGTTCAGGAAGAGAGTATTGACAGCTGCATTACGTCCTGGTATCCTGCAAGAAAGAATGACAGGAAGAGGAACTCCACCCAAAACAGCCCCGAATTGCAGACCGTGGAGTGAACTTGTGCTATCAGGGGCTTCTGCCGCAGGATAATATATGACTCCCCCCGGGTCGGTCCCCCAGGAGCTTCCTAGCTAGAAAGTAGGGCTGATTACTTCCTGGCCAGGGGAGTAAAGAACGGCAGATCCCTAGAGACCTCAGCAGTGTGTGCCTGTCACTCAGTGAACACTCCGTATGGGGAATCAAGTTGCTAGATAGCATCCATTGAGGACAAGGAACATGATGTCATGGGTGAAATGCCTAAGAACTTGACTATGAATTCAGGTGAATTATCAACCAGTAAATACATTTTTTTTTTAATTCTTAAGAGATATTCACACCCGGGTGGGGTGGCACACACCTTTAATTCTAGAGGCAGAGGCAGGTGGATCTCTGTGAGTTCAAGGCCAGTGGAGGACAGAGCGAGTGCCAGGACAGTCTCCAGAACTACACAGAGAAACCTTGTCTCGAAAAAAAAAAATTAAGAATGTGTTCATCTACCAAAGCTATGTAGGTAGGTTGATGCTGCAATACTAGCTAGTAGCTCTCTAACGTCCGATGGTGCAGACGCGTCTTTCCAAAACGGCCAGTAGAGGGCAGTGTGAGCGCAGAAATAGTGTGACTTCATTAGCCTTTTGGTTGGTCTCTAATTAGTCTGCGCTTGACTCACAGTTGCTTACATCTGAATCTGGGAAATAGACATGGGCTTGAAATAGCTGGATAATTCCATCTTTAGCCAAGCCAGCAGCCTAAGGCAGGCCAGAAAATGAGCAATCCAGTTGTGGTTCCCTCTAGCGCCAGACATAGGATGGATGTGGTCCCCTCGCTCATTGCAGAACTCCTTGTAAGGATCTGAGACTCAGTGGGAGGCCAGGTCCTCTAAGAGTAGCCTCGCTCCTTATTTTGCTGGTGAGGAAGAGGAGATAGGCACCCTCTCCTGCTCACCCAGTTGGGGCAGTCATCTGGGAACGACCTGGTTTTGTGTTCTCAAATCGCTCTCTCTCCTTCGATGTGTCCCCGGGTCACTTGTGCAAATGAATAACAACACATCGGGTCATACTGTGCTTGAGCCTGTACTTAAAACTCTTAAGGTTCCAAGGGCAGTCTATGGGGCGTGGGGGTGGCCCGTGGGAGGAAGGCAAAGGCACAGTCAGGATGAACGGGTCCGTTTCTCCTCCTGCAGTGATCAAATGCTCAGCTACAACCTCGGCCGAAGGCTCCCAGCGGACCACGTGAGTGGCTACCTCCAGTTTAAAGTAGAAGTCACGTCCTCTGTCCACGAAGGTGAGGTGCCTGCGCAAACACGTACGCACGTGCCACGTTCACTCGGTTGATAGTTAGCATGTGAACAGGGTTGTTTCATGTCCGTTGCAAAACTGAAATGGCTTCCCAGTGATTGCCTGTCGTCTTTCAGAATGCTTAGGAAAGTTTCTTTAGCAAAGACGGCCCGGAGAGCTTTGTTTGCACTCTGAAGTGAGGCTGAAGTTTCTTGCAGGAGAGAGCGCATCTACAGCTCCTGCCCCAAACTTTCTGCAGGATACTCATTTAGCAAGGACTAGTGAACCCTAGCAGCCAGCGATGCTGCCCAGGGTCGTGTGGAATGATAGAGCTTAGCAAACTGGTTACTGTCAGGACAATAGCTCTCTCTGTCTTCTCCCTCCTGCTCACCAGTGCTGCTCTTCTCACGCAGATGCATCTCCCGAAGCTGTTGGCACCATCCTCGGGGTCAACACTGTTAACGGAGACCTGGGCAGCCCTTCTGATGACGAAGATCTGCCCGGGAGCCATCACGACAGCACCGTTTGTGCTAACGGACCAGTGTCTGAGGATAGTGCCACCGATGGGACCCCCAAGCACTCTTTTAGGACTAGCTCTACTCTGGAGATGGACACAGAGGACTTAATCTCTACTTCCTCAAGAACCTCACCTCCCAGAGGCCGCCAGGATTCCCTCAATGATTACTTAGATGCTATTGAACACAATGGCCCCTCCAGGCCAGGGGCCGCCACCTCCTCCGAGCGGCCCATAGGAACCTCTCCCAAACTGAGGAGTAGTTTTCCCACGGACACAAGACTCAATGCGATGCTCCATATAGACTCGGATGAAGAAGACCACGAGTTTCAGCAAGATCTAGGCTACCCGTCTTCCTTGGAGGAGGACGGGGGCTTGGTCATGTTCAGCAGGGCATCCAGAAGTGATGCTGGGAGCCTGGCTTCTCAGACCAAGCCAGAGGAGGACAACCCCGTTGAGACCGAGGATGCCTCTGTTCACGAAGTCGCTTCCTTGGAAGAGAGGCCAGAGAACCTTCCAGAGGTTGCAGATGGCTCCTTGCCCTCAAGTGCAGCCCCTGATGACAACGAAGCCAGCCTAGAGCCCCATCCCAGTGCTGACCAGGGCAGCGCTGAATTGTCAGGCTCTCAAGAGGCTGATCAGACCCCAAGTGGTGCAGACACGGGAGCCTCCGACACGTCTGGAGGGAGCCGCAGAGCTACCAGTGAGACCGAGTCCCTGGACCAGGGATCCGAACCTTCCCAGGTGTCCTCGGAGACAGAACCCAGTGACCCTGCCAGGACAGAGAGCGTGAGTGAGGCCAGCACCCGGCCTGAGGGGGAGAGTGACCTGGAAGGAGCTGACAGCTCGTGCAACGACAGCGTGACCACGCAGCTGTCCTCGGTGGACACACGGTGCTCGTCCCTAGAGAGTGCACGATACCCGGAAACCCCAGCCTTTTCTTCCCAAGAAGAGGAGGACGGGGCCTGTGCAGCTGAGCCCCCCAGCAGCGGCCCGGCGGAGGGGTCGCAGGAGTCTGTCTGCACTTCGGGTTCCTTACCTGCTGTGCAGGTGCCCAGTGGTGGAGAAGCGGAAGGGCCAGGGGCCGAGGCTGCCGCTCTCTCTGAGCAGGGGGAGCTGGGGGAGGTCTGGCAGAGGAGGGAGAGTCTGGAGGGAGCTGCTGCTGCTGCTGCTGCTCCTGATGCTGCCACTGAGAGCCAGCCCCAGGAAGATGGGGATGCTGGGGACAGCCAAGGTGCCTGCGAAGGGGCCGCTGCCCAGGAGGAGGGAGCCACTGGAGGTAGGATGAAGAAGACAGTGGGACTCTTGGCTTAAGCATAGCTGTTCAAAAATAAATTTTAAAGTTTCCCTCCCTGTAAATGATAATGAGCTTGCATGTGTAGGTAAGTGGAGAGGCGGAATCCTCACCTGGGTCTCCGCTATTAGCAGATGGATTAAGAAGGGGAAGAGATAGCTGGGGGGTGGTGGCGCACGCCTTTAATCCCAGCACTCAGGAAGCAGAGGCAGGAGGATCTCTGTGAGTTCGAGGCCAGCCTGGTCTACAAGAGCTAGTTCCAGGACAGGCTCCAAAGCTACAGGGAAACCCTGTCTCAAAAAACCAAAAGAAGAAAAAAGGAGGTGGGAGAGGTGGAAGCAGGTTACAAATGGATGGATGCCTGAAGCTGTCCTGTGTATCAGGCCTTCCAGTCCAGCTCGGGGAGGCCAGACCCGGGCTTCACCGCTCCGGTAACTGGGGGAGAAGACACGGTTTTTGTGCACACAGACCTCCCTTAGTTCCAATTCAGTCTTTTTAAAAACCTGGATCCTCTATTGCTGCCATAAGAGGCCTGGCAGACAGCAGTTTTCAATCTTCAATAAGATACAAAATCGGTTCATGCCTTAAAGTAATGTGTAGAGGTTATCAAAAGTCCGTCTTTCTTAAAGCCCTGGGACAGATGCTGTGGGCTCTGCATCAACATTCGGTCCAAGAAAGGTCAGCTGTGTTGAGTGGTCATTCCAATGCATGAAGATGGAGAACAGGAGCAAGCATGTTCAGACATAAAATCTGTCCTGAACCGTAGCGAACGTGGCTCCCAAGAATGATTTATTTAAAATGCTCTAGAGAGGGGCAGTAAAAAGGAGAAAAGACAGTTTTATGTGCCCAAGTAGCAGAGACTCAAATAGGAACCATTCCTTTTCTTTAGGAGTGGGGATTGGTGTGGTGGCCCTGAGGTTACATGCCAGGCAAGCACTGTGGGGATGAGGTGCACCCCAGTTCTAGGAATTATTTGCCTATTGTATGATTTATTTTTCTACCTTAGCTATCATGTTCTTTCCCTTTGACTCCTATTTTGCTTTCCGTCAACTTATGGTCACTTTGTGACCCTAGTAGTACATGAGCAAGTTAAAGGCAGTGAGGGTCAGTGAAGGAGGCATGCTGGGGACATTTCTCTTGGCTTATCTCTTCTGAGTCCCTACATCCATGCGGAAAGAGATAAAGAGATTGTGAGAACAACCTTGGGATTGATCTTCAGTTGTTTGTTTACCTGCTTTTTTATTGAGACAGAGTCTTGCTGAGTATCCCAGGCTAGCCTAAAAAGGAGGATAGCTCTCTATCCTCCTGCCTCAATTGACTGGGTCCTGGGATTACATATATGCAATCCCAACACATCTGTCCTAGATGTGTGTTTCTGATGTGTGTGAGAGAGAGCATGCATGCACACGCGTGCTTACACAGACCGATTTTGATGCAAAAAGGAAAGCAATTCTTGGGCAACTCGAGTAACTCTTGACCTTTAATCCTAGGTTCGCAAGCCAATGGCCACCAGCCACTGCGGTCACTGCCTTCAGTGCGTCAGGATGTCAGCCGGTACCAGAGGGTGGACGAGGCTCTCCCACCAAGTGAGCAGCTGTTAGCTAAGGGCTTAGCCTACCTGCGGTGCACAAGGGTGACAGGCAGATCCATCCCATGGGTCCTTGAGGAGACGGTGGAGGAGAAGGTGGGGAAGACAGGGTGGCTGTGATCTGGGATGCTCTGTACGGGCCGCTCTCGCGAGAACCTCCCCCTGGAGTGTACGGGCACTCTCGCGAGAACCTCCCATTGAAGTGTACTGGTTTTTCATCTCTTCTGTCAGCTTGAATTATTAAGCACAAGCATCTGAGTTTTTTCCTTCAGGATATACAGGGCATGTTATTAATTTCAGAAATTAGCCTATAGTTTCTTTTGGGAGGATATAATCATTATATGAGGATGTAAAGACCGTTTCATTCTTTTACTTCCAGAAGACACTGAGCTCTTGACTAGGGGGTTGAGGACTAGGGCGTGGGAGAAATGGCTCACAGCCTAAGCTGCGCTCACCTACTCCTAATCGGCACAAAATGTGAAGTCTGTTTAAGTTTCGGGAGTCCCTCACAGCCATGTAATGAGAGCAGCTCACAGCGTGGCTGAGCATGCGGCTCTGTCAGGTGCCCTGTTGGAGAAGCAGCTGGACAGAGGCCCTCGCTGTGTGTGGCTTTCCCCTCTTTTCCACCCTCCTCGCGGGTCTCTACCCACGTGGGTCTTCCTATGCTTTCAACAATGGGGCGTGAATAGAAGCTGCGGGCAGTCCGGTGCTGAAATTTCCGCTCCGGTCCATGGTGGGATTGGGAGCGGCTGACAAAGGAGCTGCCTGCAGCTATGGCAGCTTGTCAAAGTCACCAGCTTGGTCTGCTGAAAGTCTGCTGTAGACAGATCCCTCCCTTTCTCATCCATTTGGAGAGAAATCAAACAGCACCCTTGGGAGACGTTTTGGTATAGTTGGAGCAAACTGGATTGGGAGCATCTGAAGGGAGTACAAGAGCTTTGTTTGTGTGTGGGGATCCAATCCCAGTGTGAAATTGATGCAGGTCCTCCCCCGACCCCCAGGATAGTTTTGCCCTAGGAACACTTCTTGGATGAGCCGTCTGGGGCAGTGGACTCTGGTAACTTCCAGTGACTGCCTCTCGGTCAGGACAATGTTCTTTACACAATGCGTATAGCTAGGCAGGATTGGTGAGAGACATCAGGTTTTTGTTTTTTGTTTGTTTGTTTGGTTGGTTGGTTGGTTGGGTTTTGTGTGTGTGTGTGTGTGTGTGTGTGTGTGTGTGTGTGGTTTTGCACTTTTATGGTTAAAGCATCCTTCAAATCAAGACTTAAAAGCAATCAGTGACTCTGAACTATAATTAATCTCAAAATTTTCAGGGACTCATTCCTTGGAGTTTGAGACTGACTTTTACGGAAAAGGATACATTTGATTTCAAAAGACAACTTCTTAAAAATCAAAGACGACAAAAAGGCCTGGTGTTGCTCCACACTCAAGAGAGAGAGGCAGCCAGATCTCTGTGGGTTTAAGTCCAGCCTGATCTGTATAGTGAGTTCCAGGCTAGCCAGGGCTATATAGTGAGACTATGCTTCAAAAACAAACAGCAACAAGAACAAAACAAAAACCCTGAAGAACTATGCAGCTACTTGAACTTTTGAAACTCTTTATTGGAATAAATAGGACATCAAAGAGTGTATTCACTCACCATCTTTCGAGCAGGACACAACCAATCGACCCGTACCTTAGAAAACCCCTTCATGTTCTCAGCCACTGATGTCCTATCCCTCCTGCTGTCCGATCACGTCCTCTGCACTTTAGACAAGTGGTACAAATCTTCCATGTTAGAGTGGTGATCTGTTGAGACAGAGTAGCTCTCTGGAGGTCTTCCAGCCAGGGTGCAGCACCCGACAGCTAGAAACTGACCTCCAATTCCAGTTTACCTCCATTGTGGCCCGACATCCCCCCCCCCCAGCACCTGTTGTAAAAAGAACAGCGGGCCGCTTCCCGCTGCCCAGCTCCCCCCGAAATAACAACACACAAATTGTATTCATTTAAACACTGCCTGGCCCATTAGATCTAGCCTCTTATTGGCTAACTCTCATATATTAGTTTAACCCATCTCCATTAATGTGTATCGCCACTTGACTGTGGCTTACCGGCATGAGTCTAACCAGCGTCCCTCTCAGAGAGGAGAGCCATGGCATCTGCCTGACTCTGCTTTCTTTCTCACAGCATTCTGTTTGGTCCACTCCACCTATCTAAATTCTGCCCTATCAAAAATCCAAGGCAATTTCTTTATTTGACCAATGAAAGCAACACATAGACAGAAGACCCTCTTACACCAAGCACCTGTCCTTAGATTCCCTCCGTCCTGATGGTTCACTTTCTGTCACACTGTGACCGGAGAAGACACAGTGGGAGGATCCAGATCCTGCCTCCTAACTCTGCCTCTCCCTGTTTAATGGCTTCCATCTAAAGGAAACCACGATGGTGTAAGAGGAGTGCTCATATGCATTCTTATACGAGGACCAAATCAGGTCCAGTAGAAAGGCATCCAAGAGGTTGTACCCTTCAAAGCAACTAATGTGGATGGTGCTAGTTATGAGCTGCCCTGCAGGTACTGACCACTTGGGGAAGAAGGATGCCAACAGCACCAACAGTCGTTCCCAGCCCGATGTCAAACACTCACCCCAAGTCAGCAGTGTTGCAGATTTGAAGGTGTGCTCTTTGGTAAAAAAAAAAAAAAAAAAAAAAAAAACAGCCTTCAAAGCACATTGAATATTCTGTATTCTTAGAGAGAAAATTTGTGCTTCTGGTTTCTTATTCTTCTGATTACACATTAAAAGGTGTCTTTAGTGAATGACAAATTAGGATTGTCCCTGGTCTTGGTAGCACGTAAATAAAAGGACCACTGCTTTTTATAGAATTATAGCATTTAAAATGATTTGTTCTCTTATTACATGGTCTGCGCTAGGCACAGTAGTGTTCGGGGGGGGGGGTTCCTTCCTCCAGATTTCTTCATTTTGCTACCCACTTAATTAGATGGTAAACAGTCTGCACACATATCTAGTTAGGTAAATCTTTGTTTCCTTATTTTCAAGGAGATAATCCCATCTCTGAAGGTTTGGAGCTTTGGAAGCTTTATTTCATGGATGTGAAAAGTATTCAGCAATGTGCTTTCTTTCTGCTTTCACTGCCCGGACGTCAGAGCCAGTTTTAATGGACAGCGTATCTGGAAAGCTTGGTCATATCTGGGAAACTTGGCCATATCTGGGAAACTTGGCCATATCTGGGAAGCTTAGCCACATTTCTGATGCCTCTACTTTGCTTTCTCTTCCTTTTCAATCTCTAACTGACCTATTCTGTATTATTTTTGTTTTCGATTCTGTTTTTTTTTTAATTGAGCGATACTATAAACAGTCTTGTGGGAAAAAAAATGCTAATTATTTTCATGTGTATTTGGCTTGACATGTTGTCAATGGGTAGATTACCCCATCTCTAACAAGATCGGAAGAAGGCGGGAGACGTGGGTTCTTGAGGTGTCTGATGGGCGAGTGTGCACAGAAGAAAACAACCGTAGGGCAGATCAAAGGGGTTTTGAGAATGCCTCTCCGCCTTGCTTACCATGTATCTGTGGGGCAAACCAAGCGTGAGACGGTGGCTTGCAGAAATTCCCTGTTGATGAAATTGTAGCTGTACAGGCAGCTTCACTATAGCCATCCTACCTTAGAAGAAAGTGACGTTAGGAGGCTGTGATACTTTGTCTCCCCTTATTATTTGTAACAATGTGCCCTGGTCAGTATGAGAGGCTTCTCTGGCCCCAGCTAACGTGATGACCTGCCCTGGTGGCCTAGTGCAGGCTGGACCAGCAGAGCCAGGCTCTGCGACCCTAAGGATTTGATTGGGGTATATGTTCCATTCACTTCCAGCGAGCATTCCACAGGTAGTGAGAGCAGAGCCCATGCCTTCCTGGTGGACTCCTGAACTAGCTCCGGGGAGTCTCCTCATGAGTTCTGTAACCACCCAGAAAATCTGAGCCAATTGGACTTCTTGAGAGAAAAGTGTTCCTTAATTTTTAAATTAATTTTCTCAGAAGTATAAATTTAGAAAGCTTTTTTTTTTATCTGAATAAAGAATAGGTCTCTGACTTTTTCATCTTTCCTGTATAAAGTCCTCCTCCCGGTGGTAGTAAATTCTGAAAATCTATCTTGGAAAAATCGGCCCATGCTCTGATGGTTTAAACAGGGAAAGGCCACCTAAACAAGGGAGCAGGACACCTGATTCTGAAGTCTAGCCTGGGGCCACCTATTCATAGGAGGAGACACCTGGTTCTGTAGACTAGACTCCTCTCTGATTTTACCAAACATGCATTTATACATTGGTATCCAGAGACCAACACACTTTCTATGATACTTAATGTACAATTAAATAATCTTTTCTATGCCTCATGAAAGTCGGAGGGAAGAAATCGCCCTTGCTCTGAAATACTTTTCTCTCCGGGAGAGAGCAGATTGAGAGGTGTGGATAACCGGGCTGGTTGATCACTAGGAAGTGTGTGGATGAAGAGCCAGCTACTCTCCGTCCAAAACCTACATTTATCACTGTTATGTCTAAATATACGCATGGATATTTCTGCTAAGCTAGGAGAGGAGGGGGAAGGGCGCAGGTGGAGAAGAAGGAAAAAAGATACAATCTGGGTGGAAAGGAAACACCGATACCATTTTTGATGTGAAACGATCAAAAAACGATACCACCTGCATTTTAAAACAGGTGCTTACATGTAAAGAGGGACGAGGGCGGGCAACATGAAAAGATGCTTTAGATTTAGAAATTCTTGAAGAGTTCTGTATCCTCCGTGCCTCGGAGACTTAATAACCAGTAACGACAGCTTTCCAAGTGGACTGGGGAGGAACGCCAGACTACGCAGTGAGGTGTGTGTTATTAGCCACAAATTATAGCGTGCAAGGGAGGGAAAACTTGCGCCGAACTTAATGAGCCATCTTCCTGGCCCAGCTCCTCCTCCTCATCTCTCTCTGTGCCCTTCCTGCCCTTTAGACTGGGAGGCCCGCATTGACAGCCATGGCAGGATCTTCTACGTGGATCATGTGAACAGAACCACGACGTGGCAGCGGCCCACCGCTCCCCCCGCCCCCCAGGTCCTGCAGAGATCCAACTCCATCCAGCAGATGGAACAGCTGAACCGTCGGTGAGCATGTCCCTAAATACTCTCTCTCTGCTCCGTCTCGTGGTTGGGCTTTTCCCCCGGTGCAGAGGAGAAGACTCGGCTGCTTTCAGCTTTGATGTCCCGGTCACAGAGCTGTGTGTGTCATAGACTGAACTGGATTCCTCCTGGGGAAAAGAAAACAAAATATAAACACACATACTTGCATTGTTGGGGAAGTACAAAGAAAATAATCCTAGTAATTCCTATGGTGCATTGGATTTTAGTAAGGCAAACATACACATTGAGGATTTGAAGCCGAACATCCCTTGCCATGTAGTCTTATGCACCTAACATTTTCAAAGCAGTCAGGCCTTTTCTGTCAAAAGCTAATTGTCATAGGACATCAACCTGTTTTTTGTTTTTTGTTTTTTTTTTTCCTTCTTTATAGATAGGTTTTCTACGGCCAAGGGACATAGTTGTTTTAAGTTTTATTAATTTGTCAGGAAAATGGTCTACAAACATGGGAGGGCGGAACTTCAATGAGGCGTCATTCATGTAAGCGACAGAGAGCATCCTGAGGCGGAGGACGGAAGCCTGGGAGCCAGCACTTGAAGTCGAGAGGCCTGGAACTTTGGGTTCTAGGGCAACTTCCGGCGGCTGGCATGTAACTCCAGGTTCATGCTTTCAGTTATCAGAGCATCCGGAGGACCATGACGAATGAGAGGCCCGAGGAAAACGCCAGTGCCATCGACGGGGCAGGGGAGGAAGCCGACTTCCACCAGGCCAGTGCAGGTAAGAGAGGGCGTTAGCCGCAACCTCGCAGGTGGAGAAACAGAGCAGGGAATTCTAAGAAATGAGCTGTTCTTTCGGAGAATTCTTGTTCTTCTGTAGATATGATAAGAAAACTTGAAAAACAAAATAAAATTAAAAAAAATTCAACAGAAGCCTTTCCTGATACTAAACCTTTATGAGTTCTGAGGAAAGGATCCCAAAGCCAAACAGATTACACACCGCGGTAGCCTCTGAATGTGTGTCAAAGTGGAACAAGAGTGTGGCCATCTTTAAAAAGCTACGGATGCATGACCACATTGACAACTAGAAGTGATATCCAGTCTATTGTAGTGCCTAGTCTGGTGTACACATGAATTCTTCAGCGAAGAAAAATGTCGTTTTTAGGGAGTTGAAATCCTAGCAACGGATGTATCATTGTGTAGTCCTGAAAGCCTTTATGGTCTCTGCTTAGATTTCCGACGGGAGAGCGCCCTGCCCCACTCTACCTCCAGATCTAGGCTCACGCTGCTGCTGCAGTCGCCCCCTGTGAAGTTTCTCATCAGCCCAGAGTTCTTCACCGTGCTGCATTCCAACCCCGTGAGTAACAATACCGGGAGGAACACGGGGCCCGAAGACAATGACGCCCCCTCACTCGTGACTTGCCCCCCCCCGTGTCCTCCCGCTCGTGACCCCCCTGCTTGTGACACACACACACACCCCCGCTCGTGTCCTCCCACTCATGACCCCCGCTCGTGTCCTCTCGCTCGTGACCCCTGCTCGTGACCCCTGCTTGTGACCTCCCCCCCACTCTTGTCCTCCCCGCCGGGGCCCTCCCTCCCCCTCCCCCGCGCTCGTGTCCTCCCACTCATGACCCCCGCTCGTGACCCCGCTCCGATCCTAGGACCCGTCGAATGCTGCGTTGAGTACTTTGCGTTTTTAAACAACCACTGCCTAGTCTATGTAACAGACATCCAAAATCAAACAAACAAAGGCAAAACCCTTTAGAACGGACACGGGCTGATAAATAGTAAGAGTTTATTTCCCACCATCTTGGGTCCGGACTGTGAAGTCCAGGATCCTTCTGACTGACCTGGAGTCTGGTGATGTCCCGCTGATGTGGCCCACGGGTTGCACCCTCCTGAAAAGGTGTGAGAGCTGCCTTGGGTTCTGCTTTAAGGAGGGTGGGGGCACTAATTCCACTCGGGAGGATCCTCATTATATGCTTTATCCGCCGCTGAGTTACCCCCTGATGTCGTCATATTGGTGATGAGGTTTCCGCAAATGAATTGGGACGGGGGTTGGCATGGGGTTGGGGGGGACCACATACAGTCAAACCCTACCAGGAGGATCATTCCATGAGACTCTGAGGGTTGAGGGAACAGCTTTGCTGACATTGTTAATTGAAGAAAGGCTGTCTTAATTGTTTATGGAAGTCAGCTGGGTAGAATCCATTCCTCAGGGTGTGAGAGGAGCCTCAACTAGAGAAGGACCCAGCAGGAGCAGAAGCCACCGAAAGTTGGCAAGATTTGGCGGGTTAGAAGCTGACGATTAGACCCCGAAGTTGGTCCTGAAGAGTAAGGATCTCACATTAATAGCTGGTGATAACAGGGAAGTTAGAAGGGAAGGGGAAATCTTGCATGTGGCAGAACAAATCAAACCTCTTAGGAAACCCAGACTAGACCAAAGGGAAAAGACGACGCTGGCGTAGTCCTAGTACCTGGAGGTGTCTATGGAGTACACTCTGTGTTCCAGTTTGCTGACATGCATGTGCTTCTGTCTCACTTCATAAGTATTGCATCTCCCTGGATTTGCTCATCGCTATGTCCTGGTTTACAGATTTATCTTGGAATGAAAATGGCTTGAGTGGAGAGAGAGCATAGGTAGCAAGGTCTTCACAGCTTGCATGAGGACTTAGGCTTTTGCACATTTGCCAACTTTAACTTTCTATTCATTCCCTGGTATATTCTAGGCACTGAGCTAAGTCCTAGGCATGTGTGGATAACAACACCCGGGGATCCTGGAATCCAAGCCTTGAAAATAACATTATAGGGTGTTTTTTTTTTTTTGACGATTATGCAGAAGGGATGCGCGGGAACAGAGGGTGTGTAACTCCACCGGGAAGGCACAGGGAAGGGGTCACAGATGGGAATGCATTTGCAAAGGGTTCTGCAGGCCAAAAGGAAGTTTGTCCTACAAACACAGACATCAAGAGTGGTCTAGCTAGAAGGAGCAGTGTCTGTCAAGTAAAATCCCGGCGACTCTGTCGAGATGATCACTGATGCTGGGCCAGCGGTACGGTGGTGTATCGCTGGTATGGAGGCAGAATGGGCACAGGGGAGTCAGACTGGAACCCAAGCTTGTGTGTGGCGTGAGTCTAGGAGATGACGCTTTTCTACAAAGAGGGATAGACTAACATTGAGAATTGTCAGAAGACACAGAAACTCCCCTGCCGCAGAGAGAGCCACTTGGAATCAGATAACACAAGCTTTTATTTGTTTATTTTTATTTTTGTTTACTTGTTTTATTTGTTTGCTTATTCATTCTGTCTGTTCGTTAAATCCCTGTGATTTCCCTAGAACAATCTAGAGCTGGTGGTGGACAAGACAGGCAGAGTGAGATATAGATAATAGATTAATGAATTAGAAGGACTTTTGATAATGCAGTATAGCAGGGTTGGGGATGGGGGACAACCACGTTTGACTCTGGGAGTCTTGGGCAGCCAACAGGCATCCCCAAGGGAGCCAGCCACATTCAAGGGACATAAAGCGTCTTTACTAAGCAAAGCAATGCCTTGGGAGCAGGAAGGAGTTGGATGTGTTATATATTTAAGGTTGGAGAGCTGCACACGGATGCTGAATACAGGCTTCCATGATCTGGAAATGAAGGTGGGCTTCACATGAACTTCGTTCTAAATGTGTTTCTTTGGTGGGGGCGACTTGGATCTCTGAAAGGTCAATCTCGATGCTCACGGAGAATGGGTCTCATGAGGCACAGTTGGTGTTAGGGAGACACGTGAAAAGGCCCCGTGGTTATGCACAGACACGACTCGGACTGGTGCCTGTCCCTAGAGACTGAGACAAGTAGATGGGTGTGTGCTGTGTTTTGGAGGGAAATCCCATGTCTCTGCCACTAACCGTTTGGAATACGTGGAAGAAAAAGGGCTGGAGATGACGCTCAGTTTGGCTGAGTGTTCACTCCGTCTGCCCAGAGCCCTGGGTTCTAACCCAGTTGAACTAAGCGTGGTGTCTGCCTGTGACTAAGCCCAGTGGAAGGTAGGGGCCAACAGAGGATCCCCCGTTCCAGGTCATCCTTGACTTCCTATCTAGTAGAAGCTAGCCTGGGTTACTCGAGACCCTGTGATGTGGGGGAGGGGAACATGTGTGCGTTCAAATGCGTGTGTTTGGGTATTTTTGGAAGTAAATTTATCAGCACAGAGGAATGACAGTCCATGCTTTTCAAGTATCAGTAAGAAGGCATTTGTTAGCATTTGTTAGCTGGCCGGCAGTGGCGCATGCTTTAATTCCGGCACTCAGGGGGCAGAGGCAGGTGGATCTCTGAGTTCGAGGCCAGCCCAATGTACAGAAATGAGTTCCAGGACAGGCTCCAAAGCTACACAGGGATCCCCTGCCTTGGGGAACAAAATTAACGAGGTGTTTGTTGACCTTTGCCCCCCCCCCCATTCATGTACCAGTGTATTGAGAGAGGGGTAGCTTTGTTTTGGTAAGATAGCAGTAACACCGGGGAGCTGGACCCCAGACTCCCACCAGGTAAGAAGTTTGTGGGCTGCTCCTGAGGCAACAGCTTAATTTGATGTGTGACATTATCGTCTCTGTCGAGTCCTTGGACTCCCACAACTTTCTCTGTAAAGGAGGAGAGAATCAACATTTTAGGACAGACAAGGACCACATGTGCCTGGAGGGCTTGAAGGATGCCTTGTTGATTGTTATCCAACTGTGGGCCCTGTGCTCTGGGGAGGCTGCCAAACCATGAATCAAGCCCTGATTCCCATTTCCCATTTTCGGCAGTGCGAATGCTTTCCCCCACTGAGTTCAGACGCTAGGGACATCACTCAGTGGGGGCTCCTGACGTCTCTGTCTCTGTCCCGGCTGGTCTTTGCTGTAAGCTCCCCGTCTCTGTGGTGTCATTGGCTGGTTGACGAGCTGTGCTGTAAACCTGTGGTTTTTCATCTGATCGGCCTTTTCAGATAAACGCAACGTGTTGATTCCTTGCAGATTCTGCTCCGACAGGGCTGCAGTGAGCCCCGGGGATTTGTGTGATCGTTCAAAGGAACGGGGTAAATGTACGCTCCCAGCTGTGGCCTGTAGGCACTGGACGCTGACTGTACCCACTTAGCCCAGGCTTTCCTGCACAGTCCTTGGCATCTGGTGCTGACTCTCTCTCTCTCTCTCCTCTCTCTCTCTCTCTCTCTCTCTCTCTCTCTCTCTCTCTCTCCCATACTTGGGTGCAATTTTATAGTTCCTTTCTCCGAACAGCCCATCTGGAGTTAAAAATATTCTTCCCTAGAGACTTCACGTTTTGGTTTTTGGGGTTTGTTTGTTTGTTTTTTTCTACCCAAACTGGTTTAGATGGTGCACATGTCCATAAAATTTCAGTTCTGTAGGTTAGGAAATCTTGTTTTCTGACTTCTATTTGGCATGAACCGAAGTAGCTGTCATTTTCCTTATTCAGGTCTTGAGCTACGGGTTGAATAGGAACCACCTCTGTGAAGCAAGAGAGACGCTGTTTTTCCTTATTTGGAGATCAGTAGAAAATATTATAAACTTTCCTGAATTTTTTTGAATCTACTTCTTATTTTTTTTTTTTTTAGTTTTTGATTGAATTCTTCTAGCTCGTTGGTATTTCAGTAAACCCTTCTTTATGTTCTAAAAGAAGTGTTGACATTTGAAATTTTCCTTGTTCTCGCTATTAAAACAATTTGAAGAAATGAATTCATGTAGAAAGGTGAGCATGAAACACGTGTTACATGGAGCAGCAATAATAATACGTGCTGGAGAATAAACCCAGGCATAACTGAAAACTGACCTGTTTCCCTGCTTCACGGTAACTTTTAGGTGGCTTTACTGCCCTCTGCTGGTTGGGATCAGATTTCTTTCCAAATTGCCTCCAAACTAACCAAAGATTTAGTTCCTCGCGCCCAAAAACATGCCTGTGTTTGTCTAACTGATGCTACAGGGAAGTGCACTTAATTATATGTAACAGAATTATATTTTCAACGTACATGCTAAAAATTACTACCCTGACTTCTTAATAAGCTTTAGGAATGCATTCATTCAATTATCCGAATTCCTTAGGACTTAATAAAGAAAGATACCATTTTAAAGTTTATAAATAATGTCTTAAACATGCTCTTAGAAACTAAGGGTCTCTGCTGTTGCACAGTGGGCGGGCTGATAGGTTGCAGGAATTTCTGCGGATGAAAGGAAGTTTCCCTCCCTGTCATCCTTTAGCGAGGTGAAAACAACTTAAAATGAAATTGTTTGAAATCAAATTAATCAATAACAGTATTAACACAGACAACAGCAAGCAAGATTATTTCCATATACTAGATGGCCTACTTGGAACCAGTATTTCTTGCTTTTGTTAATCGTAGTTTTTATTTCGTCAGTGATATACAACATCGCTGATATTTGCCCCAAGAGGCATTTGCGATTAAGTCGGGGATGCTGTTTTTTCAAATCTAATTTAAAATACCTATTCTTGATGAAGAGTCTCTGAATAAAATGTGTTATTCATTAGTAGTCTATTTAGTGGCATTTTTGAAATTGACAGAATTAAGTGAGGCTAGAACCAGCCATGGAGGAGCTTTGGATACCACAACACTCAAGAAGACCTTCAGCCTCGAATCTAGGATTCGATCATCCCTTACAGTTACTAAGAACTAAGCATTTCCTATTTTTGCCATCTTCCTTTTAACTCCTTTCAATGTTTTTCACTTCTAAAACCTCAAACACTTAGCCAAGGAAGACACATTTGAGCTCCAGATTTAACAGAATTCTGCCAAGGAAGCCGTTGACTCGGCCACTGGATATTGATTTCAGGAAGATGGAAGACATGGAAGGGGGAGGCTGGGAAATGTAGTTTGGGACGATGAAAATAGCCCAACAAGGTGCTGACTTCCCATCAAGGGAAGCCCAGACATTTGGTTGATCAGATATCATTTGAAGGTGCCTCAGCTCCCATCCACAGTCTCCTGCTCACTTCACCACGCTGGAATCCACGACCAGATCTCCAGTGAGCTCATCCTGCCTGGGGCCATGAGGTTGTGGCGTGGACTAGGCAACATTCCCTCTTTCCTGGCCGGCTGTTGTTTTGGACAAGAAAGCCGATCCATTTACCTAGCTAGAACCACTCACTGCAATGGGGAAATGACGAGCCAGCCCTCTTTTCTCTTAACGCCTGCCCTAGCCAATGCCGCGCTCCACCTAGGCACACCCTTCCAGTCTGAACTCACCTGCTGGGTGTCTCTTGATTGGCCTGGCCTTGTTCTTAGCTCTGCTAGGTCTGCCCTTTTGTGCCAGCCCGTGCCCCACCCGTGTGACCTTTGTTATTCCAACCTGATTTTCTGTCGCCCTGGCGTGGAGGACGTATCCCCAGGCTTTCACGGGGCAGAACTGAGCTCGTAGTTAATGACAGGTTAGGAGACCCTTCGGCTAATAGAAAGTGGGCTGCTGGCCCACCGGCTTCAAGGGCTATGAGCAGAAAACAGTTTTATCGTTCTATTTGTCTGTTTTGACCCTAGCTAGATTGGGATAGCCCCCCCCCCATAGTCTTTCAATTACAAGTGCCCTGTATTCTGTAATGACCTTCTCAAAGCAACTTCGCATCCTTTATTCTCCTGGTTTGCTCCTCACAGCTGAGCAAATCGAGGCAAATGAGATTGAGAGTCTCTGTCTCTGTCGCTATGACAACAGGATTCTGTGTAGACTGGAGTATGAATATTCTTTTTAAACTTTATGCATTTGCATAGATATACCACACTGTGCATCATGCATGTATACATATATGCACAGTACAGCAGATGTGTTGCATGCCTACATATATGTCTGTTCAAAAATTCTTTCCTGACGGAAAGGTAACAGTTTGGAGAACTGTTTTCTTTAGCCCCTGACAGTCACGGGGATGTTTTTCAGATTTGGCCATGCTATGATGCTAAAGGTTGTGTACTGCTTACTAATGGGAAAAGAACACTTCTGACTCTTAATTTGCTTTGATAGGCGCTTTCTTCCGAGAGCAGTCCCACCTGGCACAGTGTTGCACGTCTCTCTGAGTCGGGAGGAGGAAGATAAAAGGGTATCATTAATTATAAGACCTGGGCAAGATTCCCACGCTTGAGGAGCTGGCCATTCACTGGGAACTGCACCAAGCCCAAGGCTGGCAAGGGTTCCTGACCCTGACTGCCGTGTCCTGCTCTCCTGGAATTGGGCTGCCTCTCTTTACTGAAGAGAGGGACGGGTTTGCTGCTCTAGATTAGGAACCGCTGTGTCCAGGCTCCTTGGCTACACCCATTTAGAACAATGGCCAGTGATCTCTTCAACACAGCGTGCATGCGTTTGTCCCCCCAAGAGGCTTGTTATACAGAATGACCCGAAAGCTCTCTGTCATCGCCGGACAGACTGGTGCGGTCTCGGGCACTGAAGCTTGCCGTGGCTGTGTGAGGACACGCGAGGAGCACAGAGGTACAGGAAGCAGACGCCTGCTGACGGCAGCGAAAACCTCAAGTCGGGCTAACCGCGGGAGAAAAGATTCGCTAGCCTAATTTCTCTCTGGCAATCTCCAGCTTATTTTGCTAGGCCCCTCCGTCTTCGTGGTATCATTTTCCCATGCTCTCATGTTCCCTGAACCCCCGCCCACTCGCAGTACTGGGGCTGTGGACCACACAAAGCCTCCAGCCACCCAAAACAGTTTGCCTTTAGACCAACAGTTGGAATACCTCACGATATTTAAGACTCTGGTTTAAGGAACTAAGATCTGAGATTGGTTTAGTATAGCCGATCACCCTCCTTCCCTTCGTCTCTCCCTTCCGCCTTTCCCTTGTCCCTCCCTCCTTCCTTCTATATGTGCTGATAGAGAAAAATGTTTTAAATGCAAAGCAAAAACTGTCTATGACAGGGAGCTAATAAGAACCTTTTTTTGTTACACACCAGGCACAGGAACTATCAAATGCCAGTGAGTTCAGCTAACCAAGCTGTATTTTCTTTCCAAGTCAGATTACCAGAACTCTCATGATCCCAACACACTCACAAGTTAGGCTGGAATGTTCTCACTTCCCGTGCTTGCCCCCCCGAAGGGAAGAAAGCTCCATGGGGCTTCACAATGAACCGTAAATGTGTGAGCTGGATGTGGCTACTCCGGGGGACCCTGGAGAGACTGCTGTCACATGCATCCATCTTTTGTAGTGATAGCTACGTAGTACTGACCCATACAGATGGGAAACAGTCATTCTGTAGGCACTGTTTCCAGGTCTGATGTCTGTGCAAGTTACTCTGGGCTAAGACTGAAAGAAATAACAAAACCCAATCCTAGTCCCTCTGCGATGCTGAAAAGCAGGGGACTCAGGAGTCCTTTCACTGTATCGGTGAGGCACAGAATTTCAGGGTGGATCACTGATAGCCTGGTCGGTCTCCTGGGTACCAGCTTTGCTAGTGACTCGGGAGCACAGATCCCTTTCTGCTGCTCAGTACACGGATTAGCTCATTCATTTGCTGAAGAACCGAGGTGTGGGCAGTCTGAGACACAAGCAGGTTTTGCAATCTTTGGTATTGAGTTTAAATGGTAGTGTTTATAACCAGATAATCTTTTTGGTTCGGGGTGGCGGTAGAGTGGTCTTTTATTAAACTTGCGTTTTAATCAATGCAGCTGTGTGTATGGACAAGGGGGTGGGTGGGAACCACCAAAACAAGACAAAACAGTGAGGGATGGTCTCCAAGGTGTTCTAACTACACCCCAGTTCCCTTAGCATCTGCCCCCACCCACCCAGGAGGGTACAGGATTTCAGATGAGTGTCTCTGTCTGCTGTTGTCTCCATGGACTGATTGACAGAAGAGCAATCAGTTAGTTAGTGTGTGTGTTTCTGATATTCAAATATATGGTAAGCATTTTCCAAACAGCGCGGCCCTTAACTCGAGGCTTCTACACTGTCTGACCCCCTGAGCCAGGGACCTGCTCCAAAGCTGGAGGAAGAGCAGACTCTTGGGGTTCACTGTCGGGTGGTATGTTTATCCTCAGCATCATACGCTTGCGATTGTGTGTTTTGTTAAGACCAGCTCTAGGATCTAATGTCCCATGCTTTGTTCTCAGAAAGCTAAAAACCAAGTTGGGCAGTGGTGGTGCACACCTTTAATCCCAGCACTAGGGAGGTAAAGGCAGGTGGATCTCTGTGAGTTCAAGGCCAGCCTGTTATACAGAGGGAGTTTGAAGACAGCCAGGGCTATACAAAGAAACCCTGTCTTGAAAAAAACCAAACAGGGGTCTGGGAGGGGGGAGTGGAAGTAGGGAGAAAAAGAAAACTAGAAACCAGTCATAAAGGGCCTCACTTTCTACAGTTTCTGTGTGTGCGCGTCATTTTGCTCTCTCGGCTGTTTCCGTATGTGGGTTTGGAGTGACGCAGAAGCCTGCGTTCACGCCTCCCGCACCATCCAAGGAGCCGACGTCTGCCATGCGATAATCCCCACGCCGGTGCACACGGACAGCCTAACGGTCGTTTGTCATCGTCTTCCCTCTAGAGTGCCTACCGCATGTTTACAAACAACACGTGTCTGAAGCACATGATCACCAAAGTCCGGCGGGACACCCACCACTTCGAACGCTATCAGCATAACCGGGACCTCGTGGGATTCCTCAACATGTTTGCCAACAAGCAGCTGGAGCTACCGAGGGGCTGGGAGATGAAGCATGACCATCAGGGCAAGGTAACCTGAGCGAGCTACTCTAGTGAGCCGTTGAGTGGCTGCAGCTGCTCTTGGGGTTTCCCTCGACCTTTGCGGGGGACAAACATCCCGTCTCCTCGTTCAGCGCAAACCTGCCCAGGCAGCTTGTTGCTGCAAGAGGCATGGGTTTGGTGTCCATGTTTCTTTCCTTGGACCTTCCTCTGTCTGTGTTCTCTTACCGTTTTCCACTGACTATAGAAAAGAATCCTGACAATGCCTACCGTCCAATGTGGTGTGACTTGTGTTGTAAACAGGAGACTAAGGCATGGTCGCGTGGATTAGTGAGTGTACGAGGAATCAGTGAGCCATCGTGCAAGACGCTGGCCGAGCCTGAGCCTCAGTTACAGCTCAGAGCCCTGGCCTGGCTTCACCTTGAACAACTCCCTAGTTTATGACGAGAAGCACATAAAGACCAGAGTGGTGATGTCTTCCTGGGCAGACGGTGAACCAGAAAGCCCAGTTTTAATCGGGACGTTGGACGTGACTAACGAGTCCCCGTGAGATAGTTGCTTTTGTTCGAAGGTATCCCCCTAGTGAACATTTTATTTTTATGGGACGCTTGCTTGACGCCCCCTGTGAACCGTGCATTGTTTAAGGTCTTGATCTCACGTCACAGTGAAGCACCTTAAACGTGAGAAATTCCGGAGCCAGAATGGCTCAGCAGCCTGCCTGGCATCACCAAAGAGGCTATGGCTACACTGTGCTGGGCCCAGATCATCTGGTTCCCCGAACCCTGCTCTTGACTGCGATATTGTAGTTTCTAGATTTTGTATAATGAACCTTGGTTTCTCTTCCTATACAAAGTATTAGTGTATAACACTTACAAAAAGGACTAAAATGGCATGCTATTTAGAGTACGTAACAATTAGAGTCATTTTTTTGCAAAGCCAGGCTTTATTAAGCACCCATACCAAGCAGAGAAGCCCTTCACTTCAGAGGCGTGCCCTTTGAAGAAAAGAGACAGGCAAGAGGCAAGTAAATAAACTGTGTGCCCAGAGGTGATTACTACCACACTGTAGGCTGAAGCAGAGGCCAGAGTCTGTGGAAAGATGGGAGCAGGTGGCATTCTGTACAGGTGTTTGGGGAAGCATGAAGGACCTGAGGTGTGAACTCGCGCACAGCGGAAGAGCATTCAAGACAAATGGCGCCGGTAAAGATTGCGATACAAGCTGCTTTCCTGGAAGGGACCTCTACGACCTCAGATTCCACTCCCAGCCATCTTTCCCCAGAGCCCTGTGTAGTCAAAACATTTTGTTTTAGTGAGAGGAAGAACTCAGACTCATGGGAACTACTGACTTGATTCCTACAGGGCTGACTGACAAGTTCTCTCGTTCCCGAACATGGGTTTAGTAGAGTCAAGCATGCGTTCAGAGGAGATCAAGGCAATGATTCGCGATTATGGCCCTGGACCACAGGTCCGGTGGCAGTGAGTCAGCAGCACGACAGACTGACTGGGAAGACAGAAGCAGGGACACCAGGGAGGACGTGGCATCGCTGCAGCTAAGTCTGCATCAATCGATTGAAACGACACCCAGCCACTACTTAGGCTGACCAGGACCCCATAATTAGGGCCGCGGGTGAAGGCTTACACCTGTAATCTCATCCCTTACAAGGCTGAGCAGGATTGGCAGGACTTAGTGGCCAGCCTGGGCTACACAGTCCGCTCAAGACAAGCCTAGGCTACATAGCAAGGCCCTGTCTCCAAAAACAGAATGTCACATTTAATGAGCGACAGGCTTGGGTGTTCAATGTTCCTTTCCCCTGAGTCGCACTGGTGAGCAGGTGGATGGCTGTCTTCTTAAATTATTGTGCCGGTAGCAAAGACTTGTTGGGGGAGATGCTCATCTGCCTGATAATATGGTTATTAATGTGCCCTAGCTTCCGGAGCAGAAGATCCTCCCATGAGGTTTCTTCTGTGTGTCCGGGTCACGCCCTTTTCTCCCAGTGCACTCAAGGAGAAATGTCTCAAATCAGCATCAGCGAATGAAGGAGACATCCCCTGTGGCTCTCTATAATCATCTTCCCTCTGAACGAAACGAGACGCTTCCGGGCCCTCTCCCTCTGCCCACCCCTCCCATCGGCTCTCTCATGAGATATAGCTCTTTCCATGGGCCCCATCTTTTCCCCCCTTTATCTTTTATTTTATGTGTCTGGTTATTTCTCCTGCCGTGAGCGCTGTACACCGTGTGCATGAAGTGCCCTTCGAAGCCAGAAGAGGGCCTCAGAGGGTCTCTGGGATTGGGCATGTCAGAGGGTTGTGAACTTCCGTGTGGGTACTGGGAATTGAACCTGGGTCCTCTGGAAGAGTGGCCGTTGCTCTGCTCTTTGCCACCGGGCAGTCTCTCAGGCCTTTCTCCTGAGCTCTTTTCATGAATCCATAGCTTGTCTTGGATGACTTCCATTCCGTGCGTGTGATGTGTGCTGCAGGTGTTTTTAATCTTGGAAGAGATTTTCTTTTGGGGGTGGATAATTTTTAATTAGATGACTGTAGATTCCACAAATCTACAAATCTAGCTACTCTGGGAGTTGTAAGGTAAAAACTGGTTTTTAAGACACACAGACGAACAGTGTGGCGTAGAACGTTTCATTTAAGGTTGACAGGGCTGGAGAGGTGTCACAGGGATTAAGAGCCCTTATTGCTCTTGCAGAAGACCTAGGTTTGGTTCCCGGAACCCACATGGAAATTTATAATGCCCATCACCCCAGTTCCAGGGGAATCCAACATTCTTTTCTTCCCTCCTGATGCGCCAGACACATGCAAGGAGCACATACACACATGCAGATAAAACACTCATATATGTAAAGGAAAGTAAATGAATCAATCGACAGTTTTAAAGATAAATAATCAAAGAGTAAGAATATCGCATGAAATTTTGCACTTGGCCAGGGGAGAACGTAGAGAAGTTGCACCCCTCGGCTCCTGCTGGAAGAAGCAGAAAATGATCCATCAACTTTGGAACCAGCCTGGGGGTTTCTGAAACTCATAAGCAAGCAGCTGTCATGTAACCTGCCAATTTTATATATACACCCAAGAGAAACACACGTCCCACATAAAAGCACCCATTGGAACGTTCAGAGCTGTATTGCTTATAATCCAGAAGTTGGAAATAAGTCAAATATGTATCAGTGATTAAATAAAATGTGGTGGATTTGTCCAATGGATCATTACTTGATACTATAAAAGAATGAAATCAACACCATGCCCCAACATATATGAGCATCGAAAATGCTTGCTATGGGAAAGAAACTAGCCCAGAGGTTACATATTGTGACATGCCCCAAAGAGGCACAGCAGAGAGGCAGAAGGTAGACTATTGGCTTCCTAGAATGGGTATAAGATTTCATTTTGGAGAAAAATTATGCTAAAATTAGATAGTGGCCACACTTACGCGTCCCTGTATCTACATTAACAGAGCAAAACAGATACACTAAGTGAATGAATTGTGTGATATCTGAATTCATTGTTAGCAAAACTAGTTTTAAAATGAATAGATTCCGTTAAAGGGTGACAATCCCTATTTTAAAGCGCTTAGATTGTGTAGGTTTTGGCTTCCTTGACCTCTAAGGTTAGGTTACATGGTTCTAAACTGTGACTTAATATCAACTATGTAGTGATCTTGTTTGTTTTTTTAGGTACTTTAGTAAAATATAGAGTGCGTGGTTTACACACAACAGAAATTCATTCCTCACAATTCCAGAGGCTGAGATGTTCTGGATCAAGGTGCTGGCAGAACTTGTGTGTTCGGGGAGGGTCTGTATTCTTATAAGTGGCTAGAGTCACAAGGTAGCTCTCTGGGGGCTTCTTTGAGCAAGCGCTGATGCCGTTCTTGAGGTCCCTCTGTCATTACTGATCCTATTTGTGGGAGGCCCACTCCCGTATGACCTAATCACCTCCCAAGGATGCTTCCCGTTCCAGCACTTGGCTGGAAGTGCGGGTGGGATGCAGGAGAGCACAGATAAACTATAATGCTCATGCTTGTCTTCCTGATCCGAATTTCATTTGGAGTGAGGTTTCGTTCCAAACCCCATTATAGTATTTATTTTCGTTGTACTTTATTCTGTTATGTCCTTGATTACTTTTTAATTCCGTAACTTTGAAGCTGACAATTAATCCAGGTTTAGTTTTATACACAATAGATTCCACACAAGACTATGTGACCAATTTCTGCATACATGTATTGAATTCAGGACCCAGGATTTCCCCCAGGACACAAATGTACATGTATTCCCTCCCCACCCCCACTCTGAGCATCAACCCAGGGCCTTGCCCATGTTGGGCAAACTGTGGCTGAGTTCTATGATACCTGTCTCTGCTTATAGTTCTTTCTCATTTTTTGTTTGTTTGTTTGTTTGTTTTCAAGACAAGGTTTCTCTGCAGCTTTGGAGCCAGTCCTGGAACCAGCTCTTGTAGACCAGGCTGGCCTCAAACTCACAGAGATCCGCCTGCCTTTGTCTCCCCGAGTGCTGGGATTAAAGGCGTGCACCAGACAAGGTCTCCAAAGGTTGCTCAAGCTGGCCTTGAACTCTCCCTTAGTCCAGTTAGGCCTTGACTTTGAGATCTTCCTTCTTTAGCCTCCCAGGCCCTGGATCTCTAAGAGTGTGCCCTGTTCCCCAGTGCAAAGATCTCATTTTGAAGGAATCACAAACAAAGAAAAAGAACTATTATTAAAACATTTTTCTTCTTGTAAGAAGAGTTTTTCAACTTTGGCACACTCAAGAATATTAAAATCAAGGGCAATTTGAGATCTGAGTAGCAATGCTGATAAAAGTTTCATTATTTATATGAGAAATGTTCATCAAATACTATTAAAATGTGACTTATTTCAAATATCTCTGGTTCTTGACTGAGTTTAGTAATTAGTAAGAGCTCACAGCAATTAAACAGTTAGGAAATAAAAATGCACTTTTGTAGGGAGAACACTGGTTTTAAATACCTTAACTTTTTTTCCTCTGTCTTTTATTTTGTTCTGTTTTGGGGTTGC